CTCCACATTCTTTTGAAGCAGCAGCGGCCGACGCCGATTAATACAGTCAATGGATCCGTTAATGTCTGCAGCGCAGTTGCAACCGCACCACGTCGCCCGCTGAAGCGCGTCATCGCGAAGTCTGAACGCTGCCTTATTTGCCCGCCCTAAAAATTAGGTTCAAGGAAGAAGTACAGGGAAGTGTGGGGGAAAACACAGCTCAGAGGCTGTCAAGGAAAATGCTATGTCACTGTTCAATACTGAGCAGCAGCTGTGATCCAAAACGGTCCAATGGAAACGGAGGACGGCATATTACTTACTCGTAGTGGGCATTCTCGTCCAAAATACTGAAGAATTGCACAAAAAGTGGAGTTCTCTGAAGAAATAGTGCGTCTTGTCCAACCCAACCAAAGCGGAAAATTGACTCTTCACCGGGCACAACAATTCGTGATATTTGTCGTGATAAATCCGCCGACACTACCTTGAATATATAGGATTTAATCAAAAATGTACTTGCGCGAAAGCAAAAGCAAAAGCATACCTGAATTACTCTGGAAGAGTGGTATAGTGCAATCATGGAATGATCAGCACTTACTGCCATCCGCGCATATTGCCCATCAGATTCCGAAAACGGTGTTTCCTGGAAGCAAACACTAATGCAAAACTAAGTTCGCATGTTTTCGCCAAGCGAAATAGCCAAGTAGCCCTTAGTAGGCTCACCACGACACTCAGCTGTTCTCCTTGACATCCTGAGAAGAACTGTGTCCCAACAGCTACAATCACTTGGGTAAGCTGTGAGCGCGGCTGCAGCACCGTCCAAGCGTTAGGGTACTGTCTCCCAGCTGTAATATAATCTCACTAGAGCGCTATAAATGCGAAAAAGAACTACTGCAACCTCAATAAGGTCCCAGAAATCAACACTTAGGAAAGGGCACGGTGTAATTTGAGTTCGTTATAAAGGCACAGGTAGGGCAGATTTCGGAGGGTGGTGGGGAGTGATCTGGGGAAGAGCACAGCTACAACTAGCGAGTTGAACTCCAGAACAGGGAAGCTCTTCTTCGTGCATGACCCGAACCCTTGTCCCTGCGCCTGCGCTGACTTTATCTTCGACATGTTGTGTGGCGTGACATTTCTGCATGCCAACATTACTTATGCATGACATCTGGCGCCATACAAAGCGCGTGGGGAGAATGCGTGTCAGTAGTTCGGTATGTAAAAATGGGGGATCTTGTATCGCTTATGAAACACCTGATTTCCTTTAGTGTTGAACGAACATCTGAAAACGTTTCACGACCCATGTGACTGAATCCTATTGAGCATAGCACCGCTCCCTACGAGACCGACTGACTAGTTTGACTAGAGAATGATCTTACTGCCCCCCCCGCCCCCCAGCATTCAAGCCCATATCCCTAACATCGCTTTTCATTCGCCTCCATTTTGAAGTATTTGAAGAAAAAAATTCAGAGACGGGTAGAAACCTCTTCGCTGTTCTTCTTGAGAGGGGCATTTTGCACTTTCTCTACATCCTTTCGCTAATACATACTAAGCATCAAATCTCACCTCGGCTGCAAACTCTTTCGAAACGGCGAATTGAAACAACGGAGTTAGTTACAACGACAGGTTTTTACAAGGTGGCGTGTACAGGCTTCGCTGAGTATTATTTGATGCCACCACTAAGCCGAACTGTACCGGTCGTTTTCATAACTCCACCTCCAATTCCCCTTGCATACAGCAGACTTTACAAGCTTGATACAACCCCCCCCCCTGCGAAAATCCACACAAGCCAAGTGTGATTCTTCGCCTTGAATATTCCTCAACAACGTTCTGAATCGTAAGAAAGGCTAGAAGGTCATGTTGGATATAGGCAAATCGTCATAGATACAATGCGCTCACAAGTCGTGAATAAATAAGCGTGCCTATTTTTAGACTGAGGAAATCTGAGCACTCAAACTTTAATCTCCTCCACAGAAAAATGGCCCTTAGTCGATAACTCACAGTTCTGCATACTCCAAACAATTGGTTCGTTGACAGAGTTCACCACGAATATTCTCGCTTGATCGTCCAAGATCGCTATCCCCGAATCACGTGCAGTAGGAAATACTCGTACTTCACGCACCTCTCTGACTCCCTAAAAGCGTCTTATAAAGCTCCGAAGTCTATCATCCCAGAGATCTGTTTGTATAGAGGAGTTTCTCCTCTTCCAATACCAATCCAATACCAACTCACATTTCCAAAGTGGAACTCGGACACACGTTCTCCCAATGCAGAGAACAGCGAAGCATTTCCTCGACGATCTATGACGACAAGTCGGTGTCCTGGAAAATATGACAATATGATTCGAAATCAGTACACCTGGAGGAGCAAATGGAGCACATCGCTTTAAATATGACTTCTAATGAAGTGGAGCAGTGAAAAGACATTTCAAGAGGTCTTTCCATCCGGAAAAAATTTCACGATGAAGCTCACTGTTTGCGAGCTCATGCGCTTTTGGAAGCCCTGCTCGACAGTCGCTGGGGCGTAGACCCCCATCTACTGAGCCTTATTACTAGCACATCCTTCCTCTTCACCGTACTAGGAAGTAGAGCGCGCCAATGACAAAGATACAAAGTACAGCTACACTGAAGCCTTCAATTGCCGTATGGAGCAACGGGTAGTTTCGAACTTTTCAGTTTCCTACACCAGTTTTCCGCTGAATCATATACCTTTGGTCCAATCCATAGCAAACACGTCCGGTACCTCAAGCTTCTGCTTCAAATACCTTCCTCCACTCATGACAATATCAATGAACCATGACGTTTCAGAATTCGAAAATGCCAGTGCTGTAAAGATACCCATGGGTTACGTCTTTCTTATAGACTTACAAAAACATACCGAGAGGACCGGAGTAAGTACAAGCAGCGAAGTGGATGGCATGCTTCAGCTTGATCGAGGGCAAATTCGTATAATTCTTCACAAATCTGAAAAGAAAAGCAAATTACATTAGCAAAGGAGGCGCTTATTTCTTCGGAGCTTTGAATGGAAACCTGGGCATACGATAAGAGCATTGAATCTTGAATGTCAAATATGAAAACCCAGACGGGGAACTCGATTTGGTGGGGGCACCGCGCAAGGAAGCCTGTACAGGCCACCTCGCGAAGGCACGTAATCTCCACCAGTTGTTGTCGCCGCTTCAAGAATTAGTGGAAAGCGGGCTAGCAGCACGCCAAATCCAGCCTCTTTGACACGCCCATAGGCCCGCAGCGAACAAGACTGCCATCATCACGCCAAACACCAAGAATTCAAATAAATACGCAGAGAATTACGTAATCCTTACTTGATTTTCACATCACCAACATTGATCCAGTTGGTCAAAGCATCTCCGCCATTATTTTTTTGACTTTCCATGATGGAAGTGACGGATGGGGTGAGGGCTTACCGCAGTATCAGCCTGTGGACTATTCTTTGAACAGAACTGTAAAATAGTCAAACAGTGAATGATGGGCAAGAAGACAGTGATACTCCACAGATCCCTTTCCAATCACATTAAAATAGAATAAATACTGGTTCAAACCGTATCAAAAGCTACAAACATACTCAACCGTTTATTAACGTTCACTGACC